GTCAAAGTTGTTTCGCACGCAGCAGCTAGTGCAGCCAGAGGGTTGCAAAAACGGTCTAATCCCCCAATCCCGGGGTGTGGTAGTGGTCAGCCATCCCCCCATCCTGGCTGGGGTGACCGACTCCCATCTCCCATCTTAGGGGCCCGGTGCTAATCCCATCCTNTGAGACAGGTTTCCCATCCTGCCAGCCTGGGTCCCATCCCCAATCCTATGGCCAGGGTTTCCAATCCCATCCTGCAGCTGTGTTCCCCCAATCCTCATCCTGCCAGCCAGGGTCCCTTCCCAATCCCTTCGACCAGGGCCATCTCCATCCTGCAGCTGTGTTCAGATCCGAAAGCTGTCAGCCAGGGTCCCATCCCCATCCCTTGCCAGCTACAAACCTACTCCTTACGTTTACACAGGTGCTGTAATATCGGCTTTCTCTTTAGGCGTAAATCAGGGGAATGACCAGGGTTATTTTCTATTTCCGCGAGATATTTTTCTCTTGCTCTATGGCTTATTTCCTCTAGCGTCAAATTCCGCCCGGCTGTGTTCGTTCCGAAGCAGACTGAAGCGACAAACGCTCATTGAAGCGGATCTCGACTGAGGAAGAACTCGCATCACAGAGGTCTACGTATCTAATTGCACACTGGCTGCTATTGCAAATCGCGCGTCCTAAGGGGGGAAGGACTGTTATGTTCGAAGGACGGCCACAGCAACAAATTATAATGCTGTGGTTAGAATGGCAGAACGTACAAGGGTGTTCTGTCAAAATGTCCATGGCTGGGAACGTGCACCATTGGTTCAGGTTCATAGCGCAGGAGTTCAGCTGCACATTCCGGCGCCAACATTCCACGTTGGGTGCGCCAAAGCGCTACGATAAACAACCTGATAACATTACATCAAGCCAGACAGTCCAATTGGAATGCTTTTGAGTCGACTTGGACTTCTGCGCAAGAATTGCTCCTATGCACTATAATGTGCAGAGTTACGTGGAGTTGTGCCACAACAAAACAATAAAGACTGCAAACTTTCTCAGAGTTGTGCATACTGGCTTGGGAATGCGGTGCGGCATGATGCGGCCAGCATCTTCGCGCCTTGCAACTTCAGCTCAGTTTGCATGAATATAACCAATAAAACATCACAGTACTAGAGAAGCAGTTTGTATGAGGAAGTAACATGAAAGCTTAACAACTAACTCCAGGGTGGGCCTCACTTTGAGCCAGGACCCCCAAAGCGGCTTGCTGTTGATAACGTTTTGTTGGCTTAGATGCGACGGAGCGAAGCGACCGGATCGTCTAAGGCTGGTTCTGTGGTGCTGTCGTACAACTGGGTCGCAGTGGCGACTTCATTCTTGCTGCTCTCCTGGTGAAGTCATTATGCCTTCACGCAGAAGAGCATACAGCCTTGTCCAACTAGTCAGCGTGACAGGCTGTACTTGGACCCCCAAACCGGCTTGCTGTTGATAACGTCTTGCATGTTGATACGCCTCCTGCGGACTTGTCCCCCAGTAGGGTCTGCAGATTGCATACAGATTACGTTCGGGTCTTATTCAAAGTGTCCCAAACTTCGTCTTGGAAGACGCCCACCTTCTTAAGCGCAAGCTATTAACAGTCCGACGACCGTTTGTTATCTCTTCCAGAATGGCATCCGATGGTGCCCTGAGTGTGGATGTGCATGGGCCGGACAAGGTAAGAACGGGGTTGGACTGCGTCTGACTGAAGAACTGGCACCAATGGTGCACGTTTCTCACATTTACACCAAGTCGCGTTCCATGCCTGTTCTATTCCCAATGGTGTTAACCTTCTGCAGAAGCGTCAAAAGCTGGCAAAATTGACGGGGTTGGGCTTCGCCAGGGACATGGCCGAAGTCATCGTGGAAACGCTTGGGATGGACCCCATCGGGCAGTCGGCCGATGCCGGAGCAGGACTTCCTTGTGTTTGAGTTTGGTTAGCTATGGGAAGCGACTTGCAAGCAGAACTTCCTTGTGTTTGAGTTTGGTTTGCTATGGGACGCGACTTGCAAGCAGGACTTCCTTGTGTTTGAGTTTGGTTTGCTATGGGACGCAACTTGCAAGCAGAACTTCCTTGTGTTTGAGTTTGGTTTGCTATGGGACGCGACTTGCAAGCAGGACTTCCTTGTGTTTGAGTTTGGTTTGCTATGGGACGCAACTTGCAAGCAGAACCTCCTTGTGTTTGTTTGAGTTTCCATGTAAGCAACTATGGACAACTAAACCATCCATCCTTGGCCTGTTTTGCAGTCCTGTCAGTATTCCAAGTTCTGCACCTGCAGCCTCATTTTACAGCAGAACACCCAATTCTAATCCTCCAACTGTGTTCCCAATCCTATGGCAGCGACCTCATCCTAAACTTGCGAAAGCCTGCAATCCCCGTCCTGTCGACCAGGGTCCCATCCCCATCCCTGGCCAGGGCTCCCAATCCCCTCCTTGGTCAAGGTTGCAATCCCCATCCCTCAGACAGGGATCCCATCCCCATCCTCACCCCCGACAGCAATCCCCATCCCAAAAGTAGTGTAGCACGCCTAATCCCTAATCCTCGCCCTGGGCCCCACATCCCATCCTGACGTCGTCAACCCTATTCCCCATCCCGCCTGACCAGTACCTGCCCCCAATCCCCCATCTCTGCAACCCTCTGCTTGAGGTGCCCAGGGACACGGAATAGCTCGGGTTTGCACTGAGAGCGGGGGTTTGCACTGAAACCCCAATCCAACATGTGACGTGATCACTACATGAAAGCCACGGGGGTCCCGGGTCCGGCTGCCCGTTGGCTGGACGGCTCCTGACGGCTCCCGCCTGGCCGAATGCCCTGACGGGCGCAACCATAATCCTGTTTGTTGCATTCTTAATCAACATAGTAAGGACCGACGAGGCATATCGACCTCATATCGCTGCACCACGCATCTCTCCCCAAAGCCGACAGTCATAGTCTTTACCGAAAATTCCTGAAAATTCCTTTCGGTCTAACCATTTTGTCATGTCTTGCACACTCAACAGCTTAATTGCGACGATTATTATCTATTTACGTCGCAGATCCGCTGGCTTTTATCTGAAATCAGGACTGCTGACCCAGTCTGACCATGAGGTTAACTCGTAGATGCCTTCGTCATCATTACCACCTATGGCGACTGTCGCCAACCTATCGCCGTTGTAATTAGTCAGAACGAACCAAACGAACGGTATCCTTAACCAGTGATATTTGATTACCCAAGACATGCGTTCACGCTCGCAACGAGTCTTTCCAACTGCTGGCGAGGCGCCAAGGAGAACCCTGTGATTCGCTGTACATCCGTGATGTACACCCGTGATGACACCGTACACCCGTGGCAAGTTGCTTCTTGGAACTTTATGTAAAATGGTGAGGAACAATTAGTTATGAAGAGGATACAAGCGATACAAAGAGGACGGCGCATGTTATGTTGCATGTAGTGTATTTCAGTTGTCAGGTATCCGAGACCTGATCCGAGACGGCTAATCGATACCCAACATCCTTTACCCAAGCGACTACAGGCCGTCAGGAAAGGTGCAACTAAATTTGTGCTTTTATTGGCGTTGACATACTTGCTTTCTGCTGGGTCTTTTAATAATCTCCACCTCGACGTGAACGATCGTTGACGCAATAAACGCAATGCGTCAATTTCTATGTCTGTAGTTTGAGTTAAAGAAGATAAGCACAACGGCGGCATGGCTCAACACTGGACGAATGAGTTGCCTCCTGTGGCAGCTTGTGACCTAGTTCCGAAGCTGCCGCCGCTTCTGAAGCTGCGCCAAGTTGCGGACGCGGCTGTGAAGACGCCAGCCGGTGGGGCAACTATTTTCAACGCGAGGGCACTTTATGATGCTGTGCGTGAACTTGCAGGGAGTCTCGACATCCCGCAGCACAAAAAGGCAGCCGCGACGCTACTTATTGCCAGCACGGCTATGGAGGATTATGTGCGTAGTCACAGCACGAAGGCGCGGCTACTATCTTTACAGCAGGCACACATCGCTCGGGTTGCTGCCGACCAAGCAGACGTGACAGGCGTCACAGCAGAGCAGGAGAAGCTGCTCCAATTCCTGACAACCTCAAGCCCGGCTGAGGTCGCGGACAAGCTTCTGGCCCTGTTAAAGGAGCCGGAGGAGAAACGGAAGGAACTGGAGTATATAGTAATGAAGCGCGGCCCGCGGGAGATAGCCACCATTTTGGCAGCGACGATGAAAGCTATCACGTGAGTGGGAGTCGATGGTAAATTTGGTAAAGGTTTAAATTTGCTGTTATTCCGCACATCGAAGCGACACACATTGCCACACATGCAACGCTTGGGAGCTCCTGGGTGGGGTACGTGGGTTCGCTAACAACAAACGAACCTTTAATTGTAAAACCCCCTCTCCGCGCCCCCACCCCCACCCCACTCTCCCCACTTTCTCGCATATGTTTACCCCCTCTCGACACGCCAGCCGCGGGACACTAGCAACTGGGGCTCCTCCCCCCACCCCCCACCCCCCAGCTTCACTCGTTCGTGGTTCGTCTTTCCCCCACCCTCCCACCTTGCACACACTTACACAACATTGCATACACGTCGTCCCCGACCATCGAATCCCCATTTTCACAAATCATCTTCCTTTATCCCTCTTTCCCGTTCCTTAATTTACATCAGTCTTATGGTATCAGCTTCATTCATCTGTGGTTCGTCTCAGCTAAATAAATGTAATTTTCTGAAAGAAAGACTGTTAGCAAAAAGATATTTTTGCTTTTATGCAACGTACGGAGAATAGTAAATAAAGGCTACTGCTCCCCTACAGCGACGGCGATACGGAGCGGAGCGACGGCACGGGTTCAAGAACTCCAGGGGGGATCTTCTTTCGGGAGGCAAAGCGCCACAAGGCTGTAGCTGACAAGGTGATGCTACAGCCGCTACTGCTGCCCGCACCGCCCATGCGCTCGTACCAACGGCACGTGGTCGGTATGGCCCTCGTCAGCTGGGGGCTAGAACTCACGAGGGAGGTCCTGAGGCCCCGGGAGGGTGAGATGGAGGAGGCGGCGGGTGGGGGGGTTGGGGGGGTGGGGGAGAGTGCTACGGATCTGAGGGCCAAGTGGCAGAGTATGGCCGACGGCTGGAAGGCGAACTGGCTGGTTTCGGCGCCTACCAACTCCGGCAAGACGCGGATGTTTATCGAGGTGGCGAGGTGGGGGCAGCCGGGGCTTGGAGAGGGTGGAGGGGTTTTTTGTGGGGGAGGGGGCGGGAATGGGGATGGGGGGGCTTCTTGTGGAGGGGCGGAAAAGCCTTTTGCATATATATGTTTGTGATTTGGGTCGAGACCATAACGACCGCCCCAACTGCCGTACTCGCACGCCCCGTCGCTTTTTCAGCTTCCAACACCCCCCTCTGGCCGTACTCCCCCCAACAAATTCCCCTTGGCCGTACTTGGCGCACAAGTTTGAGCTCTTCTGCGCACTTAGATGCATACGAAGTGATCCCTTTTCCGCTACTGCCAAACAACCAACAACCAACAACTTATTATTATAACCGACAGGGCCGTCATTGCGTCCAAGCAGCTCCTGGGCCGCGGTGCAATCGTCGTGGTGCTCGTCCCGTCGGTCATCCTGACCAGGCAGCACGCGCATGCCTTCGACGAGGCGCGACTGCCGTGCACTCTGACCAGCGCCTATTCCTCCGACAGCCCCCTGGGGCCCAAGGCCTGGAGGTCCATGTTCTTGGCGGCCTTCTCGGGCGGGAATTCCTCGGTGGTGGTGGCGACCGCGGAGTCGTTCGCAAATTTGCTGCGGACCGGAAAGGCGCTGCTACAGGAGGTGGACCTGCTGGTAAGGATACATTTTTTAATTTTTTTAAAGAATATTGATGTTTCATTGAGCATGAAATAATAAAATAAAAGAGGGGAAAGAAAAATAATGAAATGGGGTTTTATAATAATTTAATATTTTATTCTTTGGAGAAGGGGAATAAAAATTTAATTGCTTTGGGACTCTTGCTCTCTCCTGTTTATCCTGTTTGGAGAAGGCCTTCGTCACACGACACATGTTTAAAAGTGGTGTTTGAGATCGCTTTGAACAGTTCCTTGCATGACTCTGGCGCTCAACTTGTGTTTCCTCTTTTTTTTGGCTTACTACTACTACTACTACTATTATTATTATTATTATTATTATTATTATTATTATTATTATTTATTATTATTATTATTATTATTATTATTATTATTATTTTCGGCATCATCATTATCATCATTAGTATAAATATTAACATTAATATTCATTATGTAATAATAGTGATATAATAATAGTGATATATGATAATAATGATAATAATGACAATGATGATGCGGAATGGCCAGAAGGCTTGCAAGGTTGGCTGACGCCCCTTTCATAACAATAACAACAACAACAAACAAAATGCAATGCAAGGTCCTGGACGAGGCACATCACTGCAAGGACGAGCATCCGTACGCCCAAGTGATGGCCATGTACAACGCCAACGTCCCCAAAGACGCTCCCACCCCCCAACCGCGGGTGCTCGCGGTCACCGCTTCACCGGCCAGCGAGAGGGACATGGTGCGCGGCGGGGGAGGGGGGGGGAGGGAGGGGGGGGAGTGGGGAGGCAGGGGGGAGGGAGGTGGAGGGGGCAATTCCTGGGGGTTTCTCCTATAGAGAGGCGTTGAGGCGGGGGCGGACGGGGTGTATGTATGTATGTATGTTGTTAACTTCGCCAGCAGGGTGGTTAACTTCGCCAGCGGCCCCCTTTCCCGGGGCAGTCCCTGCTCTCCCCTGCTAGAGGGGCACCCTAATCCGTCACCCCATCCGACTTCAGAATGTATTCATTGGGTTCGGCAACTCACCACCAGCATCCAACCAAATCTAGCGGATCAACAGTGCATCAACTTAGTTCCTGGTCAGCTCGCAAGTTGATTTTATCACGTCCTACACCGTCCACAAGATGGGGGCCCACCCCCCAATTCAACACCCCTCAAGCACCCGAGGGGTCGGCAGGCGGATTTGAATGTATGTATGTATGTGTGTGTGTGTGTTCCGGGCTGTTATCGACATGGAAGCAGACTCCCCTCCCACTCCCCGCCTGCTCGTTCACAACCCCAAACCCCAAACCCCACCCTCACCCCCACCCCCACCCCCACCTGCTCCAAATCCCAGAGCGCTCTAGACCGGCGCATGGCGGACATGTTGTCCCGACTGCGAGCCAGGCTCCACTGCATCTCTGAGGGAGATCCGGAGGTGGCGGAGGTGCTGCCCAACCCGGCCGTGG